CCCTGTGCATCATCTGGTTCTCCTTTGAGCTCCTCGTCCGCTTCTTCGCCTGCCCCAGCAAGCCCGAGTTCTCCCGCAACATCATGAACATCATCGACATCGTGGCCATCATCCCCTACTTCATCACCCTGGGCACCGAGCTGGCCCAGCAGCAGCAGCAGAAGCAGCAGCCCGGCAGCAGCAGCAACAATGGCGGCCAGCAGCAAGCCATGTCCCTGGCCATCCTCAGGGTCATCCGCCTGGTCAGAGTCTTCAGGATCTTCAAGCTCTCCAGGCACTCCAAGGGGCTGCAGATATTGGGGAAGACTCTCCAGGCCAGCATGAGGGAGCTTGGCCTCCTCATCTTCTTCCTCTTCATTGGGGTGATCCTCTTCTCCAGTGCTGTCTACTTTGCAGAGACTGATGACCCTGACTCCCTGTTCACCAGCATCCCTGATGCTTTTTGGTGGGCAGTGGTGTCGATGACCACCGTGGGCTATGGGGACATGTATCCCATGACAATTGGTGGCAAGATTGTGGGCTCCTTGTGTGCCATCGCGGGTGTGCTCACCATCGCCCTCCCTGTCCCTGTCATCGTGTCCAACTTCAACTACTTCTACCACCGAGAGACTGATCATGAAGAGCAATGCCAGTACACCCACGTCACTTGCGGCCAGCAGCAGTCACCCTTCTCTGAGCCCAAGAAGGGTGACAGTAATCAATCTCTCAGCAAATCTGAATTCCTGGAAGCAGAAGACCTGGAGTCCATGAAATATTCCAACTTCATTCCTCCCAACAACCAGGGTTATAAAGAGAAGAAAATGCTGACAGAGGTGTGATCAGTTTTGTTATCCTGGGTCCAGACACAGAGCTGCAAGCTGCTGCACAGCCGTCTTCCCACTAGCAGCTGGATCTATTCAGCATTTACATGCCAGACTGTGAATTGTGATACCGTAAACAGAATGATTGTGATAATGGGCTCTTCTGTCCTGCTTTGCTGTTTCTCATTACCGTGTGCAGCCAGAAATGTTCTAGCTTTATTCCGTGGAGTGCTAGCTGTCATCCCCCACTCCCTCGTGAATTTCTTTCTCTGTGTTTGAAGACTTCTTAAAGCCAATATTTGCTCTGAAACCTAGCCTTTCTACTCCACTAGCAGAGAAGCCCTGCTTCAGCTGAAGGATTCGGCAGGGAGTAAACGGTTAAAGGGGCTACAAACATCTGGCTCAAGCTGTGCCCTTAGTTCCTGTGCCAGCGCAGTGCCCTTGGCTGTGGGATCAGTCACGCCTGCCATGCCATTGCCTTTGAATAATGGAAACGCTGTACCCAGCAGCACAGTGAGTTCTGCAGCTGTAGGGGAAAGTCAGCAACCAGATGCCTTCCTTCTTTGCAGCGCCTGGCATGCTAAAGATCCTCTTGGTTTGTGTTTTTAAAAAAGGTGCATAGATCTAAAAGCTCTTCGTTACTTGTGACCATATACCATTTATCAAAAATAGACTTAAAGAAATCAACAGGCTTGGTGGAGGTTCTCTGTTTTGAGCTTATTTCAGCCTTATTGATGCCAGTGCCCTGATGTTAATAGGCTTTTATAGTACCAACTTAATCTTCATAGTGGTAAGTGCCTTCTGATGCAAGGCACATTTGAGTAAATTCATTTATCTTCTCAGTTTATCTCCACACAATAGCGTTTAATGAGATGTAGTTTATGCTTCAGATATCCAGTTCTGTATTCAGGCATGTGAGAGCAATTGACTCCACTGCATTTTTATTGAAGCGTTTGTATAGCTGAGGGAAGTTTGCATGTTGGTATTTTGTTGACACTGCTGAAAACCCTCAACCACAGACAGCTGCACCTGTGCTGTCTGAAGATTTCACTGATTTAGCAGGTCACAGGCATAAATTGCCCCAGAGTAAGTGTGTCAACATTCGAGATTGAGATTGGCACGGATACAAACTTCCCTAAGCCATCTGCACAAACCCAACAGCATACTCCAGACTTTTCAAATGAGGGGAGAAACAGCTAGCCTTGAAGAGATGCTTTTGCTGTTTTACTGATCTAGCCAGTTCCTGGTATTTCATGGATAGAAGGCACAGCAATGTCTTTTGCATGCACTAGGTTTTATGAGCGCAACTTATGCTAGCAATGCAAAAAACGTAACTTGGCCTGCAGTGCTGGGTTTGCCAAGGGACCAGAGATTTGCATCTTAAGATGCACATTTTGCTTCCCAGAGCATTTCATTTTTTTTAATTAGCTCTGCCTTACATCTAACTTTAAAATGTTTCAAATGCTGCCAGTGGGTAAGAAGGGGAAACGGATGCTTTCAGATTCTATTGGCAAGTTTTCCTGCAAGGAAAAGTCTTTCTTGTTTTAACTCTAAGTGTATATTCTGCATTCACATGTGTGCATGTGTATGAAAGCAAAGGCAGCCATTAATGCCTCGCATCATACTGTATGATATGCATATTAGAATGTACTACATATTGCATGTGACACATGTAATACATAAACCAGACATAATATCATGCAAAATATATAGAATACATTTTATATATATGTATATATTATTCTTTTCAACCATAAGGGTAAAAATGCTAAAGGTATATACTTTAATATAGTCAGAATTGGCTATAGAACTGGTTGTGAGATGGGATCTGTTTGCATCTTTGTTACCCTGCTTGTTTTTGTCGCCTTGAGATCTGGCTCCATGCCTAGAGTGCTTTTATTGTGGCCTCTCCTCATCTGGGTCCTGATCGTACAGTAGAAGCTGTTTGTGTAAATTCTAACTGCTGCATTTCTCCAGAGTCCCGTTGTTTTCTCAAAGGTTTTTAATACACAGGGATCTCCCTCGGGGTCAGCGCACAACCATTATATTAAAACCTCTGTTCTCTCTCTCATTGAAGTCATTAGCAAAATGCCACTTGTCTCGGTTACTGCAGGTCAGTCTGGGAGATGCAAGTGTGATGTGTTGAGGGCTCTATAGCTGAGAGGAGATTGCCTGAATATATAGGTGCCTAATTCCGCTGTGGTTCATTGGGACTGAGGCAAATGTCTGTGAAGGTCTGGGCCTTGGGAGCCATTCTGTATCCCTTGAAGCATGTAACCAGCCAGTGGGTAAGTAATCCTGGTGAATATGTGGGACTGAGGAAGGATCAGCGTGGTGACATCTCTGTTGATTTTGTGTAAAAAGTTGTCTTGGTCATTGCGTTAATTCGGTAAAAAAACGTTGTTGTTCTTAGCTGTGTTTCAGGGTCACTATAATGAAATCTTTTCTGTGAGTGCAAGAGAGTGACTCTTCAAATTTTGTGTTGCTCTAGCAGATGCACTAGAAACTAGCAAAAGAATCTGCTATTTAAGAGGGATGTTTCAAGGCTGCTGCTGTCTCCTCACAGAATGCCCATGTTTGGGGTTATTTTATGCCTGAGTGTATCAGCTGATAAAAGTTTCCCCAAAGTAAGATATAAAAAACTCAGGTTAAGCATGAGTTCAGGAGGAGGCATGAGGCACACTGAGCCTACGTCAGAAAATTCCCGTGCTCGTTTCTTCCCTTGGGCCTGACCCCATTGGCCCTGCCAGGCAGGAGCCCTCCCTGCTCAGAACAGGTTGTTCTCCTGACCAGCATGACAGACGGCTGGGCATGGAGACTCCGGCAAGAAAAGATGTGAGACAAATTACTGGTAGGATAATCTCAATGTGTCTTACAGAGATGCTTTTGTAAAGAGATTTCCTGCGCTCAGGTGAAATTCAGCAGTGAGTTTCTAGCTGGAGTGTTGTCTGCCTGCAGGAATGTGCATGCACATATGTGCATACACAAAGCACTGGTGCAAAGGAGCTTTGTTGCAAACAGACAGTTTTGTGCAGTTTTTTGCAATCCACATTTTTCAGTTCTGAAAAGAAAGTGCAGATGAAAATGGGTAAAACAGGTGGTTCCTTCCTGGGTTTTCTGTGTTGGAGCTAAGAGAAATATAATAAGCCAGCAGAAACTTGGCAGCTGTAACCTAGGGACTTTCATTTGAGCATGTAAATCCTTCTCTAAGCAGCTCCTGAAAAGCAAGGCAGTGAGGTCCCAGAGTCATCAATAATACTATATATTACAGAACTTACGGAATTTGACATTTTTATTAAGGAGCCTTTCAAGTGACCGAAGTGACATAGTGACACCTGGACCACTGACTTACAGAGGACTCATGTCACCGAATCACAGAGATGCTTTCAAAAATCTTACCTCAAGTTCTCAGCCCTTAGCACTTACTCCTGGATGTTTGAAATACAAATCTGTCTGTCTAGCTATTTCCATCTGAAGGCAGAGTGCATCCTCGTGAAGTAAAGTAGGCACCTCCAGGGACTTGTTTCCATAACAACCTCCCAGACTGTTTCTCTCTACCCTGTGACTGTGGCTACAAGCAAAAGCACTCATTGAATATTTTCAGTTTTCAGATATTGGCACCTTTTCTTTACAGCTGTTTTCTTTCCTTACTGAAGATGATCTTTGTATCATATACAACTGTTCTGTCCAACTCCAGACAGACAGTTAGCAGCATTTGGAAGTGGAAAGTGCAAACCAGGAGATGGGAAGGGATTTTACTTGTGTATCCTTGCATACAGAGAGGTGGGGAGTGTGTGAAGGACAATCTGAGCACTCGCAGTCAAGGAGCTGAGGGGCAACTGGCCTGTGAATGTAGAGTCATCTGGGTGCCTTGTGACAAGGAATACAAGCTAAGGCATCACATTAGAAAAACAGAGACTCCTCTTCCAACAATTTCAGTAGGAAATAGTTTTGCTGTGGAAGAGACTATTGCTCCTTCCTGAACCCTTGTCTGATCTGTGACAATCGGTTCCCCAGATGATTTTCCCACAGGATGTTTTGCACCAAAGCAGGACAGGGCAGAAATCATCTTGCTGGAGATGGGGAAGGAAGGAAAGGAAGAATTTTACTGAGGACACCTCTTTTTATCCACAACTTATCAACTACAGGAAAGACTGTAAGCAGGAAAGGCATGAAGAGCTGCTTTGTGATATTTCAAAGTCTACATCACTCATGGATTCCTGGATGTACCTCCAAGATGAAACGCCTGTTCTGCTTTTGTTTGGAAAATGTTGCAATTTGGGATTTTTGAGCAATTTTCTGTTTTGGCCCTATTCTTTTGATCCAGCTTTCATGGATAAAAAATCACTGCCAGAGCAGCTGTGGGGGTGAAGGGGACTGGATTTGGTGTTCTCTCCTAGGCCCCCTCGTTCAGCATGCAGAGATCCCTATGGAGATGAAGAATGAGTATAAAGGAAATTCAGGGCAGCAAGAGACAGGGTAAGGACTGAAGTGTCTTCCATACTGTGATGGAAAGAACAGCATCATCCCTAAAACCAAAGGAACAAACAGCTCCAGCATCTGCTGCAATAGCAGAGGTAGGTAAGGTTTCTCTTTCTTCTGTGAAATTAATGGCTAAGTTTCTTGCAATTAATGAGGAAGGATTTCCTAATTAAGATTTGCAGCCTAAAGGGAGAATCTGGTTCTAGGTGAAGAAAGAAAGATAATTATAAACTACAAAAATATAGTATGAGCCAGATCCTCACCATCTGCTGATTCAAGTTGGCAAAACTCCATTTAGTACAACTACCTTGATTTATATTGGGCTCCAACTTCAATATTCTGCATCAAGTCAAAACATATGTACTATTTGCTAAAATGCTTATTTTTGTTTGTTCTTCTCTTGAGATCCTGTTTACATCAGGGAAAGATCTGCAGATTACAGCAGGAGTTAACCACAGCTTTCCCAAAAGCTCTCATCTGACTTGAGTCCAAGTAAGTCTACCATACTCAGAAAAATTAAGCTTCTCTTTAAGTTTATATTGACAAAAATAAGAGCAGCAGCATTTTATTCTTTTTTTTCCTCAATGATGGAAATGTGCAGACAAATTCATAGAGAAGTTTAAATAAGATTCTGCCCTTAGCTGCAGCCCTGTAAGCACAAGATAGCTCTATTTACATTGCTGTAATGGAAAGCAGAGTCTGAGCTCTTCATCTTTGCTCTTTGGAGCTCACACTCTAGACAAATCCTATTCTGAAGACATTTGTAGCCATATTATCAGCAGGCTCACAGTCGAATCCCTGACTTGCGGTGATCTGCTTTACACATAAAGTTAAGGAGGGGAGCAGGTGCTTGCAGGATGAAAAGACTTCATCCTCTGATAAAATGAACAATTGCCAGTGAATGCTGAGTGTCCTTAGCTGCCACCAAAGACAGTTGGTGATGAAATTTCCCATTTATTACAAGAAGGAACTCTTCCTGTGCAGTGTCAGGTCCTAAACAAGGCAAGACTCTAGTCAGGGAAACAAACCCAGAAGAATGTTTTTTGGGGATAGCGGATAGGGACTGCAGTAATTTTGATTTCCCGCGTAGCTTATGTTAGTACACGTGAATTCTATATGCCT